ATACAATTCTTTATTTCACGGTTAATATTTAGTTTACAGTCTTGTCTGACCTGAGCTTTTATTATTTTTTTAAATACAAGCAAATTATCCATACCCCGGCAAACATAATTATTTCTCGAGCAGTTTATTTGGGAGATGTTAGTTATAGAAATACTTTTATGATAGGAAGTATGTGGGGGGTTAAGATCTGCGTCTAGCCAATCTCTTTTTTTTTTTTTCAATTTGGATAAACCAAAACTATCTCTATTCACTAATCAATTAATGCGAGCCACCTTAAATTATATATTTAGACTAAATTCACAGCAGCCCCTAAACTAAATATTTACCCAGGCAACTAACACCCAAGCATCAATTTACTGCTAGGTGAACAAGGGCAAATGTATAGAAACTTATCCACACCTCTCCGCCCGCTCCTGAATTTAATCAAAATCCTGTGGCTGCGAGCATCACGTGCTACCGCTGAGCTGCGGACCACCGCTTGTATATTAACAGATTTTTGCAAATTAACTTGCTTTGCAAATTTAAATTCTGTACCAAATTCAACTTAGTAACTTGACGTAATATTGTTTACAAACGCTAATGAAATATAACTTAAACACAAAAATATACGAATATCCCCAAAGATTCCAACATAAACACTGGCGTTTGTATGCTGCCTAGATCTAGCAGTGGGCTACATCTTGTGGCAGTGATGCGTTTATAACGTTAAATTAGTCTTGTAATATCGTACATAGGTTCCCCTTCCCTAAAATAATGGTGTTTGAGTGTGATGAGGCAGCCTCCCCTCGTGAGACTACCCAGTAATGAAGAGGCAAACATTACCAGAGGTTAAAGAAGATTATAAATGAAGGCTAGAGCAAATATATCATCATTAAGTGGTTGTGACCACTGGCAATTTATGGCTTAAGGAAACAAAAATATAGAGAAGAGATAATAGCCATGAGTAGATGTATAATTGTTCTGGGTTAAGCGAATAAATGCTGGAACAATTAGCCTGAAACACCCCAGGCTTGACTTTCAGCGACGGGTTTAAAAGCTTATCTTGTTATTTTCATATTTTAACCGAAATGGAATAGAATATACGACTTACGAAATCGTAATCACGCAATTGTAAATAACACAGAATAGAATATATGTATATCCGTCAGTGACATAAAACATAACAAAACCCAAAGTGGACAAGTCACCTAATTTTCCTTATTTATCACGTCCTGTATACCTATCCTAGTTCCTTCCATACCAGCCTAATCATGGACCCAAAAAAATACTGTACGCTCATAGATTACTCAGGTCACTTAAAATTCCTCAAGATAATTAGTGGTCTTCCTTCTCTCATATGACAGCGTAAAAACATTGAAGAACATATTGTTGAAGAATTAGACACATGTGCAACACCTGGATATCTTTAATTTGTAGACTTTTGCCATCTAGTGGCTTTATCAGTACAATACAATACAATACAAGGACATAATGCGAAGACTGTAGAAGTATATGCAAAAGACGAGGTAATCAGTCCCTCAGTCTGAGGCTGAGGGACTAATTATCTCATTCTCCTCCTCTCCTTACCCCTCTCTGCTGTGTATTGGACTGAAGAAGCCACTGTGTGGCAAAACGTTTCCCTAATAAAGATTCCCATATGTTGCATAATGTTTCACTCTTCAACAGTAGACTAGTTTATGGTCCAAAATGGACCGAAACGTCGTCGTAAGTTTCACTCTCCTATGTGCGAGTTACGTATTTGTGTATTGTTCCAGTCACGTTATTGTGAGTTTTTACTCTACACGAGGAGTCATTAAGGCTGCACGTAACCTTTCCACCACCAAACAAGAATACTTTAATCCCTAAAATAGGGATTAAACTCTCAGCATACATAACCCAACAGACATACACCTCTCGGTGTATATATCCTGAATATTAGCGTTGTTTCAAACATTTTCGTGTTTATATAAATGCTACATATCCTATTATCATTTTGCATGTTGAATTTTCTAAGCAATTGCTAACGTCAATTTCCTAACGCTCCCTGTAGTTTCAGAAAATCTATTTCTTTCTTTATTCGATATTAGGTTACATAAACCTATAATAACGCATATTTAGCCACGAATAAAAAGTGACACCAAACGTCTGGAATCGAGGTAGCTGAGCAACACCAGGAAACGTTCAAATCTGCATGAGTATTAATGGTGGTACCTTGATGCCGGTGAAGGGGACTTGATCCAAAAAAGTAAACCTATCCTCTCTTTTCTTTTGTCGAGAATGTTTGCCACCTATTCCCTTCCCTCAGGTGTTGCATAATCCCGGCGGGTTGAGCACTTCCCATAAGATAATAATAGTAATAATAATAATAATAATAATAATAATAATAATAATAATAATAATAATAATAATAATAATAATAATAACTAATAATAATATATATACTTTAGCTATTCAGTTGAATTAGGTGATAATTTATAGTTTACAGTGAATAATAAGTGTGTTGAGCGATAGACATTGTTGGTTGGTTAATGGGGTTTAAAGCCTATCGACTGCACCACCACACAAGAATACTTTAAACCATAAAATTAGTATTAATCTCTCGGCATTTATACGCTGAGAGAGATACACCTCTCGGTGTATACTGTATATCCTGTGCGCAGATTGAGTATTTCTTCAAGCTTCTCGTTTTTTTTTTTATGTAAATTGTACAATATTAAACGAGTCGTGAATTGGAGACGATTATATGTTGGGAATATTAGGAAAAGAGAGTTTCTTCTTTGGTAACCAATAAAAATAATAACCTAACCCGTCTACCGTCCTAAGGTTTAACTCAAAATGAAGTTAGTTTACGTTAAATTAGGTTCTTTTTGTGGCTATAAAAAAAACTTCCCAATGGCACAAAATATGAAATAAATAACAACTTTTATTTCAATATTTCTATAAATGTCTCTCCATTGCACATCTCATTTATTGTTGAAAAATTTATATAACATATTTTCCGAGCAGCTAAAGAAAATATTGACCAATAATAATGATATAATAAAATAATAATAATAATAATAATAATAATAATAATAATAATAATGCAGAAGAGCAAAGAAAACGGGTTGTGGTGGCAACCTTGACACCAAGGAAAACGGGAAACTGGTTCACACCCTGGGATGACAACTTTTTTTAAAAATTTCTGTTTCTTAATTATTATTCTTAACGCTGTTGTGACCTTCTCAAGTCTAGGAACGGATGTCACTCGTGAGTATTGCACCATTGTTCTTAAGAATGTTATTCTGTGGTAATGACGAAAAAAGAGAAAGTGTGTGTGTGTGTGTCTTTACTTCAGATATGGAGCATTAAAAGATAGACAAGCACGAAATAAAATGAGAATAAAAACACTGGTAGCAGAGAATCATTTTAATACAACATTTCGCCCACGACTGGGTTTGATAAAGCCCAACCTTGGGCTAAACACACTGAAAGGATCCTCTGGTACCAGTCTCTTTATTCCCACCTGTCGGCTTTTATCATTATCTACCTACTAAATAAAATGAAAGTAAGAAATAACAAGTTCACTTTAAAAATAAATGTACGACAGCTAAATAATAAACTCTAAACTTAAAAACCAAAATTTCTAACAAATATTTAATAAATACTCCTAACTTAACCTACAAAATTAACTTAAATGAGAACTTTGAGGGCAACAAATAATCACAGGCGAAAAAACAAGGATTTCCCAAATTTTCCTACCTGGAAATGACACTTGTAATAAATTAATCCATAGGGGACGTCAGCGGCCACTAGGCTACTTCTAGCATGAGAGTCGAGTACCTGTACGCCTCTCGGTGTATATACACTGAGAGACTAATTTAATAATTTTTCTTCATGAAGTAAAGTATTCTTGTCTGATAATGACCAGTGACATGAAGCCTTCATGACCCTTGTGTAGTCGATAGGCTTCAGATGACATGTGTAACAGGTATCCATATTCCGAAAAGTTTCGCCTACACAGTAGGCATCGTCAGTCAAATACAGAGGTGTTAAATTTGGAGACAGTAGAAGCAGTGGAGGTAAATATGATGTGATCAGTACATCATCCTTGAAGAAGTAGTTTGAGATGTGTCCAACTTCATAGTCTGGAACACTATTTGTTGGTATATCATTATTATACTGATACAAACAAGCTGTCAACAGTGCATAAGTATCACTGGGACCTCTGCACTGTATAGTGTAAATATTTATCTTATAGACCAATCTTAATGACCTACAAGGTCTATATAATTCCGGTCTTGTGCTTTCTATCCTTCAAATGTTTGAATCTCATATAGAGCTTAGAATTTAAGTCAATATTATGTTGTGTATTCGCTATGAAATACACTTCACAGTGTGTGTGTACCTGTGTTTATTGTATGACCCCACAGGTCCTCATGAATAATAATTATAAAACCCGTTGTGTGTTCAGCATTAAGATGGTTGGTTACTGGTCTATGGAAGGTTTAGTACCGGTGGGTCGTAATAAGGTGCAATGCTGGGATCAATGCTGGTTTATTGGCGGTTTAGTACTGGTAGACTGGTGGTTCATAATCTGGAATCACTACTGATTTGTTGATGGTTTAGCACTGTTATACTGATGGTTCCTCAGGGATCAATTTTTTTATTGATGATTTTGTACTAGTGGTCCACAAGGGATCAATACTGTTTCAGCAAAATATTTTAATATACATTTCATAAGTGATTGGTTGTGATGATTCATTGCCAGTAATATTTCAAGTCTTCTTTGTCATGTTGTAGATAAATCCCTAAATTAATAGTCCGGCACCAGGCGTAATCCCAGTTTATCTGCGGTAATCCCTGACTGCTTCGTGTAATCCGTAAAACAGGCTTTATAAATTTATTCCAAACTAAGAAATATAAAAAATTAATAAATAGTAATGCACTCAACATTATATTTTTAATATTTGATGGAAAATTATTGAAGAAGCGTGTTACATACAAAAGTATGATCCCTAAACTACTTTTCTTTTCCTCAGAGACAAGTGAGGCGAGGGATCCTGCTGGTCTGGACCAGCTGACTCGGTGCATTAAAATTGCTGAGCCTTTGGTCAAGGATTCTGACAACATCTTTCCACTTACTATCCGCGATATTGAGAGAGTCTGCAAGTGAGTGCTGGTAGCGTGTCTATAATTTCCAATTTAAATTATCTTTTTATTATTAATGTGTGTGCGTACTCGCCCAATTATCCAATTATTTTTCCGGGGGTTGATCAGCTACATTGATTTCTGGCTTCTTGGGCCTTTTAGTATCTACCTTGAAACTACATGCTACTCAACTCACTACTACATCCAGCATATTAAAATAACTGCTATCAAACTAGTGAATGTTTTCAAATAAAAAAAAATATAATTCTCAGCTAAGCGGCTCATTCTGCGCCCTGTATATCATGATAATAGAAAAAAGCTCAAATACTTAAAATATTAACCCCAAACCAGTTTGGTACAAACAGCATCCATTCAGGTAGGTACTACTGTTTTGTCATGTGGGTAAGAAACAAGCCTGTTTCATACCCATATGACATGTTCTTATATACATGGAAGGTAGATCATATGAAGTTTTACTTGTATTCCATATAATATATTTATTTTTACATTGTGTGTGTTCCTTAATAGTTCTCATTCAAGTAATATTTCCCTTATAATTGATTTGCTTTATCACTTCAATTAAATCACTGACCAGTGGTGAAACTATTAAGAGAGATATAACTAGTGATGTCCCATCAGGTTGTGGGATGAGCTGACTTACTGTGTGAAGGACTACACCCTCACCTACCTCACACACACACAGCAACTCGAGTTCAACCTTGCCATCGAGAGCTCCATAAAGTCTGCCAACCAACTGTGTGCTGACGACCCAGAGTACCGCACTTGTGAGTCTCTCTCTCTCTCTCCGTTCAGTGTTGCAAATATTACGGCAAAAACCCTTGATTTAACGACCCCTCAATGTAGATTTTGGTTTTAGTTAACGGGCAAAATTCTGACAATGGACAAAGTCCATAAAAAACGGACACAATCCTTTGTTTACAGAATTGTCCATTGTTGTTACGATCTACTGGGTAGACTGAATTACATTTTTAGTTATTTTCATTTGTCTGTATTGTACGATGTATGGTGTTGTCCAAAAACAAACTTTGTACGTTGAACATAAAGTTGTCCGCTATTATGTATATGAAAAACAATAATTATTCTGATTTAGTGGACACTCAGCATTACCAGATACCCTCTTCCCCATTGGTTCATGTATTTGAGGTGTTTGTCTATGGAATCATCTTTAGTATAACACAAGTAATTTTTTCTTTTGCATCTATCTCTCTATCATAGTCTTTCACTAAGATGTATCTAATCACTTCTCTATCATCGTCCCTCACTATCATGTATCCATTACTTCTCAATTATTATCTCTCACTATCGTGTATCTATCACTTCTCTGTTATTTCTCAATATTATAGTTGTCCTATGTTATTGTATTAACATTACACCTTTATAATTATTATCTCTTTTTGTTGTTATCCACTTAGCAGTATTTTTTTTTATTCGCCGGTACTCTCCGGCCCGGGTCTTTTCCAATAGTGGTGACCCGGCCTTGGCTCCCTGTCTGGGGAGTATCTCGAGACCTAAGTCTCCCATGGGAGGAGGAACAAGTAATCCCTCATCTTTGGGACCAACTGTCCCCAGGCCTAGCCACAGTCCCCGCCCTCACGGGGCTCGTAGGGAGAAGCTAGGAGTCTGGTCCGCCATCTGCCCCGCCCCAAAGGGGCTCGTGGGGATGGCAGTCTTGTGAGCTGCAGGTGGTGGCAAGCTCAGTCTGTCCCCAGCTGTATTAACCATTTATCATTATGCCTTTATTATTATTTATCATAATTATTGCTTGATCATTTTTATCCTTGTTTTAGTGTTATCCTTTTACTTATATTTCCTTCTCATTACTATTACCTTTATTATTATTATTATAACTATTATATTACCTTTATTATTATAACTATTATATTACCTTTATTATTATAACTATTATATTACCTTTATTATTATAACTATTATATTACCTTTATTATTATAACTATTATATTACCTTTATTATTATAACTATTATATTACCTTTATTATTATAACTATTATATTACCTTTATCATTATTATCTTTATATTAATATTATTTCTGAATGACAATAGAGTTGTAGATGAGTGAAACAAACTCGCTCGTAGTCACTGCGGCGAGAACTTTGGGTGATAGGTAACCCTGAGAGATGGTAATTCCCAAGTGATAGCAACTCCAGCTGAAACAAAACCTTCAAACCTCCTTTAGCTGACGAACCCTTAATAGCATGCTTGACGATATCCTCATTACCCCATTAAAGTCTCCCAGCTCGGGCTGACAGATTTCAACATTTTGAGCCCCATCCCGTATGATGGAATATGACAGGGAAAACAGTTAACGTTCGTTCTCACTTTGTAACTGTCATATAGCTCGCATGCTGAGGGTCCGTGGTTCGATCCCGACACGAGTGGAAAAGTTGGGCATGTTTTCTGCTGCCTCAATTCATTTAGCAGTAAATAGGTACTTCGATGTTTGTCGACTGTTGTGGGTCGCATCCAATGAAGTGGCAGTATACCTTACATAGGTTTGGGCTTTGAAATAAGCCTGTAAAACTGATGTGCAAATAAAATGGACGGACATATGAGTGGGTGTGAATTAGACCTGCCTATCATGGACCAATAGGCTTACTGCAATGTTTCTTCATTATGTTCTTATACTAATATGTGTTTACAGCTTACGTCATCAACGCTCCGTGTCTGAAGAGAGTGTCAATCAACACAAGTCTGTGTGGTGGGCAGTATAACTATCTGGCAGACCTCGTCCAGGGATTCCAAGCTACCGATGCTCAGATGTGCTGGTCAGTTCCTCTTCCCATTCGTGTGTTCTCGTTCTTTTTAGTGTTCTCAAACGTTTGTACATCAGCGCAAGTCTGTGTGGTGGGCAGCATAACTATCTGGCTGAGCTTTTCCAGAAGTCTAGCTCCCAGATGTACTGGTCAGTTTCTTTTCTTTGTTTTCTACTGTGCTCTTGTTCTCGGTGTTTTTAAACGTTTGAATATCATCGCTATTCTGCATTATGAGCTTTTAAATCTCTGCACAAAATTCAACTTAAACCAGCAAATAACAGAGCCTACTAGACTGGAGAATACACTAGACCTCATCTTCGCTAACAATGATGATCTGATACGAAATGTCACCATATCAAAAACAATACACTCAGATCACAACATAATCGAGATTCAAACATGTATGCGCGGAGCCCCAGACCGACATAATGAGATTAGTCACGAGGGAGCCTTCATCAAATTCAACTTTAATAACAAGAACATAAAGTGGGACCAAGTAAACCAAGTCCTAACCGATATAAGCTGGGAAGATAGACTAAGCAACACAGACCCCAACTTATGCCTAGAACAGATTAACTCGGTGGCACTCGATGTATGCTCAAGGCTTATTCCTCTAAGAAAAAGGAGGAGTAGATGTAAAATAGAAAGAGACAGGCGCTCCCTTTACAGGCGACGAAAAAGAATAACAGAGCGGCTAAAAGAGGCAAATATATCTGAAAGGCATAGGGAGTCACTGGTCAGAGAAATAGCAAACATCGAACTTAAGCTAAAGGAATCTTATAGGAGCCAGGAATCGCGGGAAGAACTAAAAGCCATAAATGAAATCGAAAGAAACCCAAAGTATTTCTTTTCCTATGCCAAATCAAAGTCGAGAACAACGTCCAGTATCGAGCCCCTACTTAAACAAGATGGGTCCTACACAGATGACAGCAAGGAAATGAGTGAGCTACTCAAGTCCCAATATGACTCAGTTTTTAGCAAGCCACTAACCAGACTGAGAGTCGAAGATCAAAATGATTTTTTTATGAGAGAGCCACAGAATTTGGTTAACACAAGCCTATCTGATGTTATCCTGACGCCAAATGACTTCGAACAGGCGATAAATGACATGCCCATGCACTCTGCCCCAGGGCCAGACTCATGGAACTCCGTGTTCATCAAGAACTGCAAGAAGCCTCTATCACGAGCTTTTACCATCCTATGGAGAGGGAGCATGGACACGGGGGTCGTCCCAAAGTTACTAAAAACAACAGACATAACCCCACTCCACAAAGGGGGCAGTAAAGTAATAGCAAAGAACTACAGACCGATAGCACTAACATCCCATATCATAACAATCTTTGAATGGTCCTAAGAAGCAAGATTGCCACCCATCTAGAAACCCATCAATTACACAACCCAGGGCAACATGGGTTTAGAACAGGTCGCTCATGTCTGTCTCAACTATTGGATCACTACGACAAGGTCCTAGATGCACTAGAAGACAAAAAGAATGCAGACTTTGCAAAAGCCTTCGACAAGTGTGACCATGGCGTAATAGCACACAAAATGCGTGCTAAAGGAATAACAGGGAAAGTTGGTAGATGGATCTATAATTTCCTCACAAACAGAACACAAAGAGTAGTAGTCAACAGAGTAAAGTCTGAGGCGACTACGGTGAAAAGCTCTGTTCTACAAGGCACAGTACTCGCTCCCAGCTTGTTTCTCATCCTTATATCTGACATAGACAAGGATGTCAGCCACAGCACCGTGTCTTCCTTTGCAGATGACACCCGAATCTGCACGACAGTGTCTTCCACTGCAGACACTGCAAGGCTCCAGGCGGACATCAACCAGTCTTTCAATGGGCTGCAGAAAACAATATGAAGTTCAATGATGAGAAATTTCAATTACTCCGATATGGTAAACACGAGGAAATTAAAACTTCAGAGTACAAAAATTCCGGCCACAAAATAGAGCGAAAAACCAACGTCAAAGACCTGGGAGTGATCTTGTCGGAGGATCTCACCTTCAAGGACTATAACATTGTGTCAATCGCAGTTGCTAGAAAAATGACAGGATGGATAATGAGAACCTTCAAAACTAGGGATGCCAAGCCCATGATGACACTCTTCAGGTCGCTTGTTCTATCTAGGCTGGAATATTGCTGCACACTAACAGCACCTTTCAAGGCAGGTGAAATTGCTGACCTAGAAAATGTACAGAGAACCTTCACGGCGCGCATGACTGAGATAAAACACCTCAATTACTGGGAGCACTTGAAGTTCCTGAACCTGTATTCCCTGGAACGCAGGCGGGAGAGATACATGATTATATACACCTGGAAAATCCTAGAGGGACTAGTACCGAACTTGCACACGAAAATCACTCACAACGAAAGCAAAAGACTTGGCAGACGATGCAACACCCCCCCCCAATGAAAAGCAGGGGCGTCACTAGCGCGTTAAGAGACAATACAATAAGTGTCAGGGGCCTGAGACTGTTCAACTGCCTCCCAGCATACATAAGGGGGATTACCAATAGACCCCTGGCAGTCTTCAAGCTGGGACTGGACAAGCACCTAAAGTCGGTACCTGACCAGCCGGGCTGTGGCTCGTACGTTGGATTGCGTGCAGCCAGCAGTAACAGCCTGGTTTATCAGGCTCTGATCCACCAGGAG